CTGTGAAAAATTTGCTTATATTAGAAATAGTTCTAGGCCAGTAGTCACAGAATATATTCAAATATATTCATAAATAAAGGAGGGTGCTTTACCCTCATGCGCTTTCCTATTTGCAAGAATTTGTATGTATTATTGGACAATATTCATAGTGTTGGACATATCCATATTATTCACAAAATGTGGGATTTGCCTGATTCCATAGTGAAAGTGACTGTGCATCTGAGGATGGTAGTTAACAGACCTCATAAAATATAAAATGTATAAAATGTATAATTTTAAATTAAATGTATATCCTGTAATGTAATAAATGTAAGATTAAATTAAATGTACATTCATAAAATGTATATTCTAAGCATATTTGCTGCAAAATGTTAATGGATATCTCGGATGTGTCTTGGATTTTTGCTATATCTCCCAAATTTGGCTAAGCTATGTCTTCCCATGCTCAGAAGAGGCCTTCTCCAGTTTAATATACTTTAGCTGCAAATATTATGAAATTTCTAGTAGCTCCTAGCAGAGCACAAACTGTATAAGTACAACATAAAGAAAGCAGGAACACATCAGCAAGAGACTGCAGATGGGAAGCTACCTGTTTGCTGTGATGACTTTTTGTGAGAGTTTGAGCTGGAGGGTATGCTGGTACCAAACCAAGAGCTTCTCTCTTCCGTGCTGTCCCCCCCTGCCCTTCCTGCTTTTGTCCTTCCATTTAGACAATGATTGATTCTGAAACAAAGGGAACAAAAGCCAGAAGGTGAAAATATTTAACAGGTATTGAATAGTTTGGTAAAAATACTGGCTGGACTGGGAAGAGAAGTCTGTTCCTTTCCAGCGTCCCCAGCGAAGCATAAAGTCTCAGTGATTTTTTTTTTTTTTCTGTCAGGAGCAATGCAGGCTGCTCCACAAGTGCAGGAATTGGGGTGGCGGGTGCTCAGGTGCCTGGCAGGCCTGTGCCCTCCCCAGCAGGCTGCAGCCCCACAGTATTGAACGAGGAAGAGCAGAGCAGGTCTGGGGACAGTAAATAAGGTCAGAAGGGATCTAGACTGATGGGCAAGTCCAAAGTGATAAAGTCACAGGGTGGGCTGTGTAGTCAAGATCAAGCATCCAAATCAATGAGGTACCTGGCCAGACACAGACATGGCTACAACACATCTGCAACATAGACAAAGTGGAGGTAAGTCACAGATAACGGCAGCCCCGAGGAAGTGGGGAACCCTCGCTGGGGCCTCCCCACACAGCTTTTTCTTCACAACAGCTCTTATCAAGCTGACCTTGTGTAGCCAGCAAAACTCCTAGGAGTGGGGGGAGTGCACTCAGGGCTCTGACATACTGTCAGCTAGTGTATGAGAACCTCATTGCTAAAATATGTTTTCCTATTTTTCCCTTAGAATTGCAATGATAAAGTTGGTCCCAGATTTGAGGTGATTGCAGTTCTGGCTGTCTGTTTACTCAAAGATAGAGATTAATGCCCTGAAAGATAAAAGTCCCACTGATTATTCAGTGTCACTGTGTTGCTACATAATTAACTACAGTTTGTGCTTTTAAATTCCATGAAAGCTTAACTTGAATTTGTTCATATGATCTCACATTTAATCATGTGATGGCATACTTTTTCTTTGAGATACTCTACCTCACTCAGTATGCAGTATGCATAGCTGTGTGGAAGGCTGCAAAGTAAAGATGCTATACCCTTTCATTTTTGTAAATGTACCCTAATGTGAAACACGTAAAAGAATATTTTGATTGGTATTTATAATTGTGATTTAAGATTTATCATCTTTGTCTATGGACTGGCTTCATTTATTGCTGAAAAAAAAATAAATCAGTGTTGCTTCCATTGAACATGGAGGCTGTTATAAATGAGGTCTCAACTCAATCCGAATTTTGTAATATTTATAAAACAAATATTTCTAAAAGGTATAAAAGGCAAGTAAACAGCGCTGGGTGTGCGGGGAGTCTACGCTCCACCAACATGCACACACAAACATCAAACATTCTAAATATACAGAACATTGCTTTACATACTAAACCCAAGTATGCCTATACATACATACAATCAGGAAAGGTAACAAACAATCCTTTAAGTTCCATAACTTACTAAAATCAAGTACGCCTATACATATTCAAGATCAGAAAAGGTAACAAACAATCCTTTAAGTTCCATGACTTAACAGTCTCCATTTTCCATTCCTTTCCTTGATTACTAACAAGTCTCCATTTTCCATTCCTTTTGAACAATATGTCTCGCTTTAAGTTGTCAAGCAACTCGGTCTTCGGGCCTTATGTATCCCCTTCTTCCTGGATCGAAGAATCCAGGATGGAAGGATGGAAGCATATCCATCTCCTTTTCAAGGCCAATAGGCCTGGGTCAAAAGGCTTCTCTCAGCTCGAGCTTCTCTCCAGCTCCAGTGTGCCTCTTTCCAGCGACTTTCTGTACGAGCTTCTCTGAGCAGTTTGCTGAGTTTGGCCAAACCTATCTTCATGAGGCAATAAATGTGCCTGTTCCCGTCCTGGTCTCCATTCTGCCAGCCTGTTCCTCTTCACTTCTTTTTCCTGCTTCTTTATTGATCGTGTTGCCTTTTTTATCTTGAGGACAGGCTCCCCTCTTATACCCTTCTCTCCACAGCAGTTCTTTTCAAAACAACTTTTCATTGGTCAAACAACTTTGAATGTAACAATAACAGCAAACGCCCAGAAACTTCCATGCCTTAATGGCTGGAGAACAAGAGAACCACCTGGAGAACAAGAAACCGGAGACTGCATGGAGTCTCCTGAGTCACCCTTCTTTGTTCCCTCTAAACTCTTTTCTATTCCTGATGGCCTCGTTGTTAAGAGTCTAATGTTGTCTCAACCACGGGGCTTTCCAACCCCTGTGGCCACACTCCCAAATCTCCCCCCTCTCCACCAATATCAACCATTTTCTTGACATGAATCACCACTCCATATACAACAAGGCCATCCAGAGAATGAGGGAAGGGCTCACAGGAAGTGAAAGGGTATTGCTAGGGTAAAGCAGATGGATCCTGTGAAGGAGAATTCTCTCTGTCATGACAAGTTTAACTTACTCCTGTTAACCATAAGCCAGTGTTTCAAAGAAAGTGCTAAACATACACAGCTGCTAATGAATCCATCAGAAACTGAGGCCTGGGCACAGAAATAACTATAAGAATGCAAAGTACTCTCAAAAAACAGATACTACTCATATATGGGTAGCAGTCCTGTACATGCTTTGCTTGCCGATCTCTAAATTGGGTTAAGCTCTGCTGCCTTTCAAACTTCAGCTTTTCCCCTTTTCCTGGCAGTAGAAATGTGAAGATCCTATTCTGTTCTAGAAAAATTCTGTGTTTTTCTGAAGCATTCAGATATTGCTGTGAACATGACCATACAAAATTCCATAATAAAGCCAAGAATTTATTGATTTAGAGCATGCTTACCTATTTTCTGCCCATACTATAAAAATGAGGACTGAATATTCCTTTTGCAGACCCTTGTGTTGCCTGATAATTTGTTGCCAATAGAGCAAATCAGCCTGTTACCACAAATCAGCCTTCAGGTCTTTGTTAAATCATGAAGAGAGCACCTGCTTCTGTCTTCTGACAAAACTAATTAGCACATTTTGTTTTTCTGTGGTGGACATATCAGCATTAGTCTTCCTCCATTCTCCTCGCTCAATCTTTTGTGTAACATACTTGCTATTCAGCACATGTTTTCCACTGCTCTCAAAGAATGAGCAAAGGCAGTGCACCAACTGGAGTCTTCAAAAGAAGGTGTACAACCATTACTGCCTGAATTTGGATGAACAGCCTGTATATGTCTTATATTTTCAAAATCGATTTGCTTTGAACTCCAGGTTTGACAACAGCAGTTTGGTTTGACTTTTTCTGACCTTGTCTGTGTTAAGCTGTAATGTCCTTGAGAATTCCTTGTTATCAAACCTGCTAAAGCTTCACCTTCACATTTAGATTTCATGATGACAACAAATATTAGGAGGAAATATTAGGAGGAAATGAACATAGTGTCCTTATCTTCTTTACTTCTTGCCTATTGAGTGGAAACTGAATTTTCATCTGTTTGACATTATGCACAACCTTAAATTAGGTCTGACATAACTACTTTTTTTTTTTTTTTTTTTTTTTTTTAAAAACTGTATAGCTGTATCTGGACACATCCAATGTTCATACAGAATTGTTCTGCTTTATAGAATAGATCCTCCCAGGATAAGTTTGGCCCCTTCAAATTTTCAGAAAATAATTTATTTCTTTTGATGGAATTTTTGCTTTATTAACCAAAATAACCTTGATTAGATGCTGAGCTGTAACTTGAAAAATATTAGGTTCCTGAGGAATACAATCCCTTTTTCTGTTCAGGGGCCATCAAAAAACAGCCATTGGAACTTAAGCTTAAATTAAGGTGTATTGTCAAAGGTGAACAGATTGAATGAATCCAGTCATGTTGCTTGTCTATACCAGATGAGATTGCAAATGTGGTAACTTAGAGTCCAAATTTAAAGCTCGGTCCTCATACAAAAAGCTTGATTATATATAACAAACATTTTAAAATGACCACAGAAGTTAGGAAACCAGTATGAAAGTGCTTTGATGTTACAGCAAAAGAATGTACAAGAGAGGCTCACACATTAGTCAGTCATTTAATATTGTTAATGGGATATCAAAAAAGCAAGTGGATACAAAGTCATATCCAAGTATTTCAATGTCTATAAAGTACCGTATTACCAGATACCTGCAGAAATTCTGTTTGTGGCCTCTGAATCTAGGCTTGCTTAGTTTTGAGCAACCAGTACTGGACTTTTCTTCACAGATTGCTTTTTTATTATGTTTTGAAAGCCATCACCATACCTTCATTCCTTTCTGAGTGTAACTGACTGTAATCTTTTATGGACACTGAGAACCTGCAGTATTTGGTTTCATACCTGTTCTTGAATGTTGATAATTTCAAAGTTTAGCTTCTGCTTTTTAAATTTATTTTCCTGTGGTTCGTCCTAGGAGCTCAAATCCCTTCATATGTGTTGTTGAGAAATTGGAATCCTTTGAAGATTGCCCCATCAAATGCAGTGAAAAACAGTAGTATGTAGGCCAAGGTATGCTTATGGGCATAAAAGACATGACAATGAGTTATTCTCAGGTTATGTAGGCAGTTAAGACATGTACTAATTTATTGACATTAATCACTGTTTCATTCTTGACAGGGAGATTTTGCTCACAACTCTTCAGTCTATGCCTTATGAAGGAGAACAAGTGCTGTTAAATAATGACTGTCATTATGACTTTAGATCATATGACTTTCCCTGTTGCTTGCCAGGTAATGTCTTGTCACTTCTTGTGTTGTACAATTTCAAGGATTGTTTCAACCTTTCACCTTATGGTGGGGATAAAAACAGGTTTGTGTAGACTTTATACAGTATAGGCCTGAGCTTCTGCTCAGACTGGTATATTTCATTACTTGCCCATTTCTTCCTGGATTAATGGTCTTTAGAATCCTCGTTTTCACCTGATACATATTTTTAAGTTAATCTTGAAATATATGATTCTGATTTAAATGTTGAAAATTGGTATTGTTTTCCTGAGTTTGCAAATTAACCATGACCAGGCAATTGAATTATTCCTGTTATGGTCATTAGTGACATGAATATGTTTACTGAATATGAATATAAAACTGAATGAGTATAACATAAAAATCAAAGCTATTAAATATTTGCCTGCTTAACTTTTAAGCAAAATACCAGGCTAGTTAACTTACCTGCCTGTATTTTCTCTTTCTTCCTCTGTGCTAATCAGGTGACACATATCACTAGCTGTCAAAATACAAAACTTCCTAACAATAATTAAAATTCATACCAACTTTTTACATAAATTAAAACTAAAATGCATAATTAAAAGTAAAATAATTTATTTACATGACCTTAAATTAAGTTTATTTTGAATTCTTTGAATGTGTTTTTTAAAGCTGAGTGTTGAAAGCTTGGGTCAAAAGCAGCCTGATTGTTTAGACAGATGTAGCGCAAGTTTGAGATCAGGCCTATCCATGAGTTTTGGCAAGTTCTAATCTTAAAATTGTATAAAATAAATAAAATAGTTAATTGTTTATTTTTCAATCTGTTCTGTTGAGCTGTAGGCTAGATGTGATATGCATCAAAAGGACAATGAAGGGGAGAATGGGATTTCAGTACTGCATGAAGGATCTTGAATATATTGCTAAAGGTCACTGAGCTGAATTTGTCATTTTCCAAACTGGAGCCAATATGTAATTTGTAAAAATACACTGAGCTTTTAAATGAAAAGGGATCATAAGCATACATTGTTTGTTTGTTTGTTTTCTAGCCATTTCTTTTTTTGTCATGGTTTCCTCATTCTGTCCTAATCTAGCTCTCCAATGTTTCTTCTCCTTCTCCCCTTATATGTCAAAATTCAAAGGCTGGGAATCATGAAAATCTTCCAGACTTGTCTTTACTGGATTGACAGAGATAGGAACTTGACAGGAATGCAGACCTAACAGAGCAGAGCAACAAGGCTAATAGGGAAACGCAGCAGGGAGCAAATCGAGGCAAACTGTTCCTACTGGTGTAATGCAGTAATGTGTGCTGGTCTGTAGTGAGCTCAGGCTCCTGGAATTGAGCATAACTGTGTGTTGTAGAGAAAAAGAGTGTTGCTACATGTGATGGGATGGTGCTAGTCGCAGTAAGATCAGAAATACTTAAATCCTTTGGTACTGTGTGCCAGTGGAATATCTTGCATCCTTTACACTGTCACAGAACTGTGATCCAGGATATAAATGTCCATTTTTGTATACATTTCCCATCTCACGTGTCCATAAAAGTCACAACCACAAATCACCTGAGGACTGATGTTTTACTAATGGTTGAGTCTGGACAGTGCAACTGAAGCAATGACTATGGCATATCTTAAGTGCTTAGTACCCATTCAGAGGTTGAACAGTCTTACAGTTTGCCAATGTGAAAACAGTTAACTATTTCACTGAAGGCCACTTGAGCTAAAACCCCTTTTATTGCTTTTTATCCCATAGCTCTAAACTTACCCATTACTTCCCTGAATGACTTAAATGTCACCCTGCTATCTCCAGTGTCTGCTAAAGATGGAGAAGTAAAAACATTTATTCTTTTACACTGCAGACAATTGCATATTGTCAAACTAGGGAGACGAGGGAGAGTAGAATAAAGCCACATTATTTGTTATTTTCTTAAGATGCAATTCCACTTAATTCTGTGGAACTGAATAAATAGATGCCTGTGAGGGATGCATGGCTTGCAATCAAAGACAAATTTCATAAGGAGTTTTCACTGAATTGTTTGTGTAGAAACTAATTGACTAAAACAGATCTTAGGTGAGAGGTCTGGGGTTTTGCTGGAGAATTCAGGTTTCAATCAAAGCTGAGTAACAGACCCTTGCTTGAGGGCTCATCTGTAATGGTGAATCTGGTCATAACACCAAGCATGAGGAGAAGTTAGTAGGTAGAAGGAACAACTCCATAAGATATTATCTCAGGTCCAAAGGATTTCTTTGTAGAGATGGTTTTATGCTCTGACATTTAAAAGTGTATGCTTATAAGAAGGAAACCAGTGCAGCCTATGCCAAAGTCTCTGGGATTAATAGAAATGTATGCCTTAATTTTAAAAAGTTTCAGAGTTAGTTTATATAAATGTTTCTGATGTTTTGGTTGTAATAAAAACCTTTTAATGTAATTTAGTTCAAACAAGTACAGGAAATGGTGAAAACATTCTGCTAAGCAAAATAACATCAGTAACTGACCAAGAAAAACCTCATTTTAGAGATACTGTTTTAACAAACTGTCTCCAACTATTATTTTTGTTTAATATATTTTTAGTTACAGGAAGATAAAAAAAAGTAGCTTCCCCTTATCCCTTTAAATGATACAATGGGAGTATGGAGAGGGACTTTCTTTAAATGCCTGCAGGGAGCCACCTTATGATTCAGTAGGCAGGGACAAGCTGAAGTTAAACAATCGGAAATAGCTAAGTAAATGGTTTTTCTGAGCTAGACCGTGAACTTTCACCATGTGCTAGAAATAAACTCCAGAAGTATGTTCTGACTCTTTTGGCTCTATGTTGTGCTTCTTGTACTTCTTCAGTATTCAAATGACTAGCATAAACAAAGCATATTATCACATAGCAAAATAATATATATATTTTCTCTTTTCTTCAAGGAGTCACTTCACTCTCTTGTGAAGTGTCCCATAAAAGAAGACATTGCACTGTATTATTTGTAAACATATAAATAAAAACCTGTTGGGGGGGGGGGGGGGGGGGAAGAGAGAAGAGGGAAAGAGAAGGGAGCATGTCTCAACTTTGTTTTTGCAGAATTTCATTTATCTCTTGCAAATAAAACTAAGTCATGTCTGTTTTCATTGGTGATATTTTTCATGATAAAAGAAAGAGAGATTATCCAGCATTATCAGTAAGAAGCTGTTGCAAGGGGGGGGGGGGGGGGGAAGGCGGGTTCAGGTGCAGCAATGACAACATAATATTACTTTAAATAAACTGATTTTATTCGATGATGTTTTATGTCATTATTTGTTGAGACACATGGGAATAGAGGTCAACCAGTCCAAGGCTTATAGAGGCTCAGGGACAAAAATGTTAAAGATTTTAGGCTGCATGGCTTAGTGTCTAGATCTGAAAAATATTTAGAAACACAAAGATGCAAGTAGTCTCTTTACTCCCTCATTGAAATAAACTGAAAGCGACTCCTAGGAATATATGAAAACTCTCATAGGTGTGATTACTTTGCCTTGAATGACCCAGATTATGTTCTTTTTCAAAGTTACTTGGGCAGTTAGCAGTCCTGCCAATTGGCCCATTTTTTTCCAAGATACGTAGTTAAGTATCTTGAACTATACTTGAGTCACTTTGAAAGATAACATGCTTTTATGTAAAACTCATGGGCTGTGTTCATTAGAGGAGAGGCTGGATTATCTGTAGAAACATGGAACTTAGTGCCAAATCAGAAATGTGTTTATGGAGTTACTCACCAGGATAGGCTTAAATCAGTTGTTTCCCCAAAAAAGGAAAGAAACCTGGAAAATAAGAAACACTATTTCAACAGCTTGAAGCAAACTAGACTTTCAAGTATGCTGTGCTCATAAACCTATTCTGTTTTTGAATGGAAACTCCAAAAAGCAAAAGCAATAATACTCCTTGTACTATACAGAGTAATTAAACTGCCAGACTGCTAACTGATAATACTATACATAATAATTTATCAATTATAAGTCTTAAGGCAACGGGGTTGTATAAAACCTGTGAAGAGTCATCATGAGGAGTTTATGTGAGGGTGACTGAATCATTGTGGAGACTAGTATGAGACAAATCAAATCCCAGACTGTAGGAAATGGTTAATTTGGTCCAATAATTTAAAGCAAAGTGTTGGCACTGGCTTGGACTCCTTGGGGAATTTTGTTTCTATTTACAGAGTACATAGTCTGACTACAGTAGGTATTGTCTCCAAGCAGAAACCAGACTATACTGTGTAAACAGTGAGTTGCCCAACAGTTGATAACAGATAACTGACTGCACAAGACTTGCCTGACGCATTCACTAGACTGCACCTTTGGAATGGAATTCCTGATCTAGCACTTTGTAGGTGGCTTGTTTAGACTGAAAGGGTGATTGCACATATACACAATGACTTGGCTGGTCTTTTTAAGTGACCAAGCTGGGTGGGATTTTGTCTTGAAATAGTTGGATCAAGAAAATATAAAAAACCTTTCACTTGAAAACCTTTCACCAGCCCTTCCTATTCTGAGGTCTTTTCTACAGAAGAGAAATATATTGGTAGTGTTATCTATGGAGTGGTAATTCGTGTCAAGAAAATGGTTGATATTAATAAAGAAGGGGGAGATTTGGGAATGCGGCCATGGGGGTTGGAAAGCCCCGTGGTTGAGACAACATTAGACTCTTAACGATGAGGCCATCAGGAATAGAAAAGAGTTTAGAGGGAACAAAGAAGGGTGATTCAGGAGACTCCATGCAGTCTCCAGTTTCTTGTTCTCCAGGTGGTTCTCTTGTTCTCCAGCCATTAAGGCATGGAAGTTTCTGGGTGTTTGCTGTTATTGTTACATTCAAAGTTGTTTGACCAATGAAAAGTTGTTTTGAAAAGAACTGCTGTGGGAGAGAAGGTATAAGAGGGGAGCCTGTCCTCTAGAAAGGAGAAGAAAGATGAAAAAAAGAAAAAGGCAGCATGATGAAGTTACATCAATAAAGAAGCAGGAAAAAGAAGTGAAGAGGAACAGGCTGGCAGAATGGAGACCTGGAGGGGAACAGGCAC